AAAAAAAAAAAAAAAAAAAAAAAAAGAAAAGAAAAAGAAATTAAGAGGAATATATGCTTCTAAGGAGCCAATCCTGGAGAAGGTGAGAGGCTCCTTCCTCCCCCACTCTGGTCGTGCAGCTGCAGGGAGGGTCCACACCTGGCTTATGAGAGTCTCGGGGACTGGGGGAATCCAGACAACGCCACATAGTTGCACTGGGCCCCTCACCTTCTCCAGGATTGGCTTCCCAAGTCACCACCATTGGAAAATGGCTATGAAGAGGCAGAGGGGCTGGAGCTGTGGGGGCGTGTCCAGAAGCAGGTGTTGGGGGAGGTACAGATCATGGCCACATATGTCTGTAACACGTGCTGCCCATGCAGGCCCTGCCAAGCTGTTCTAGGCTGCTGGGGGAGTGGATGGGACACTCCTCATGCCACTGCACACACACACACACCATCCATAGTTTGTGATGTGGTCAGCACTGTGTTCCAGCAGCACTGGGAGTTTCCTGAACATCAGGAGGAAGGTTGGCTCCCAGCCACCAGCAGTGCCATTATACCCACAGGCTGGCACTTGTCACCCGTCCTCCCACCTCTGCCTCCTAAGTATCTGGGAATACAGCCATGTTCAGTCATGCACAGCTAATTTTATTTTTTGTAGAGGCAGGGTCTCATTATGTTGCCCAGGCTGGCCTCAAACTCCTGGGCTCAAGTGATCCCCCTACCCTGCTTCCCAAAGTACTGAGCTTACAGACACGAGCCATTGCACCTGGTCAATTTCTTTGTGATTTTACTTGAGGGGTTTTGCTTCTATGTCCAAGTATACTTCTGTCAGCTAAGTGTTTTTATAAATTGGAGTGTGTGCATATAAAAGCATATCCCATAAGACAGGAAGGCCTGCAAGTGAGAGAGGGAGAGGGAGGGATCATCTGGTGTCAGTTTTCTTCCTTCATCCCCTTCTTGCCTGTCTCTTCCGTCCCCTCCCTTTACCCCTTTTTCCCTGAGATCTCTCTTGTTCATTCTCAGCCTTTTCAGACTCAGTTGACCTGGTGGCAGCTGTGCTGGGCTGTCCATGCTCACAGCATTATTTTGCTCTAGGAACCCAGACGCTGCCTCTGAATGCCATTTGCTGCCCTTTCCAAGAACACCCTTGGGTCCAGAAGTGGGTCTGTGCATGCAAGTGTGTGTGTGTGTGTGTGTGGTGTGTGGGGTGTAGTATGTGTGGGGTGTGTGGTGTGTGTGTGTGGTGTGGTGTGTGTGTGTGGTGTCTGATGTGTGTGTTTGGTGTGTGTGGTGTGTGTGTGGTGTGGTGTGTGTGTGGTGTCTGATGTGTGTGTTTGGTGTGTGTGTGTGTGTGTGTGTG